AATGTTATGTTTCCAAAAGATACCTTCATTAGACCCTTTTTGCAATTCATAAGGGCATTAGTAGTGGCAAAAAATGGTCTACCAAGAATGACAGGAATTTTAGAATTAACACTCACAACAACATTAGATCCAAAACTAAGAAATCAACAGGATAGCAAAATTTATCAATTTGTACTAAGATACCCTCAACTACTCATCTTGGTCTTATAGTGGACCGATCAACCAATTGCAAAACTATAGATGTATGTTTTATCTCACCTAAGCCTAACAAGAAATAAATAGCATAAAGCACGAGGTTAACACTGACTCCTAGATCAAGAAGGGTTTGTGCAAACTCATGGTTCTCGATGACACGAGAAATGGTAGGACAACCATAGTCCTGATACTTGGGTGAGATCCTTTGCTCATGCACAACACTCACTTTCTCCGTTAATAAAGCAGTTTTCTTGACATGGTATTTCCTCTTTCACAGTACACAAGTCTTTAAGGATTTTACCATATGTGAGAACCTGGGAAATCACATGTAAGAGACGTAGATTGATTTTTGCTTGTTTAAGATGTTCTAAGATCTCATTGTGTTCAGCAACTTTTAGGGTAGGTTTGAAATCTTAAGGTAAAGGCATTCTGGTTGGGTTTTTTACTACCTCTTTACTAAGGTTACTCTCTTCTGAATTAATAGGGTTCTTTTCATTTTCCTTAAGCTTGGAGATTAGTTATATAACCTTCTCAGACCGAGTGGTTATGACATTTACACTATACCAAAATTAGTCGCAATTTATTTCATAGTCACAAAATATTTCTAGGTCACAAATTGTCAAATTATTGTTCACAATATAACAAATTTTTAGGTCACACATTATTTATTAGTTACAAGTTATATATCTCATTAGTGACACATTATTTATTGATCACACATTAACTAATGTATTGGTCATGATCAACTAAATAATTTGTGACCGTCACCTCACCACCTCACATCACATAACACCGTCATCAAACACAACCACTGCCCACCGCCAACACCACCATAGATAGTACTCTACACCTTCAGAACACAATACCGCACCATCGCCGCACCAAGCACCGAACCGCACACAGCTCCACTCCTACATCACAGAGCACTACAAACGTAGACCACCACTACACCCATAGCACACACCACCACAACCGCACACTAACACCACACCCACTTCTCACGACCTCGCACAACCACAACGTACAACGCATCGCTATACCCACATCACACAACAATCACGCACAGTACCGCATCGACCATAGAACAAATCAAAATCATGGAAAAAATTATCTACGACTCCATCGTTGCCACATCATCATCACATTCGAGCAATGCAAGTGTTTTCAACTGGTGATGGCTCACGATGTGGCATTAGAGCCTCTGCAAATAGTGGAGATGGTAAGGAGGGAAAAGTGAGAAGAGAGGGAAAGAGAGAAGGCTAGGGAAATATTTAAAGTTTGAAAGTAAGGTGGGTTGGATGGGGGTATGTTAATTAAATTAATTTTATAATCTTATTATTAATATTTAGAATTTTAATTAAATCTGATTTTTTGAAAAAAAATAATTTGTACTCTTAGTTATGAATTGAAATTTTGAAAACACTTAGTCCCCGTAACATTCACTTGTTAGAATGTTGCAGTAGACCTCTTTGACAACATTCAATTAATGAATGTTGCATTTTAAGTAATGTAAAAGAGCATTTTTGTTGTAGTGCATGTAATATATTTTTATATTTATAAAGAGAATGAATCGTGTATTACAATTGCAAATTGACACAACTAATATCGACTAAAAGTTTAAAATATCTATATCATTTTGTTTCATTATAATGATTATATATATATTTTTTTATGACCGTGGATGTTCGGACCAACTTACGCGCATCTCGACTAATTCTACGGGGCACTGAAGTTTACAGCGAGATACTCATCTCAGTAGCCCTGAGGGGACTCGAATTTGGTGACCATTGAAGAGCAAATATAAGGTCTGACCACTGAACTACCCCCTCAGGGTTTATAATGATTATAATTATATAACTTCAATTTATAATTTTTTTTTAATATTACAATTTATTCTTTAACGTGAAATTTTTTACTAGTATCTATGATTTAACTTATCAAGCCCTTGTTCGGCCTCCATTATGTGGCAATTATAATTTTTGGAATAATATTTTTTTGAAGAATATGTGGCTGAAAAAATGTAAAAGTTTTCAGCTTACGTATAATATTATTTTTTGGAAGATTGTGTGATTGAGAAGAAGAGAGAGAAAAATAAATTGCTGGGATATATATATATATATATATTTTTTAATTTTTTTTAATTTTTTTTTTCAATGTTAAACCATGATTTTAAATTGAACAAAATAAAAAAAAAATGGTTTGGTTTAAAAATTGAAGTGATTTTGTTTGGTTTGAAAAAAATTCCATAGTGCTTTAAATGGTTTGATTTGAAAATTCGTCTCAAACGTACCAAATCGAACTGTGTCAATCCCTAATAAATACTCAGATGCGTGATAGCAAAGTAGGCAAGATGTTAGGCGGGTGGAAAGGGTATTTACCTATTTGATGTTGGATGGGATCCATTTGAAATTTTAAATTGTTTTAATGAAATAAAAGTGGTCCGTTAGGTTCATTTAAATGAAGGATTGAGATTTTTTTGTCAAATGTAATTGTCAAAAATCTTGGTACAAAGACCGCTCCCCACTATTTATTTTAGTTAAGCATATTTACACACGTTATAAGTTTTATTGTACTTTGAATTTAGCTAACATAATATTTTCAAATATCAATCTTTTTACTTATTGATTACAAAGAGAAATTCATTTCAAGTTTTTCAATGCCATTTTTTATATTCCTTTGCATCAAGAAAAAATTTGTTTCTCAAAAAAATAATTTCATGGAAAAAGTTTAGTAAAAAACACTTACATTCCTCTCATCAGACCATTTGTAGCACTCATAGCTACAGCTCTAACTCGATTATTTCCTAATAATTGCTGTACCTCATAAGTCACATCATTGATATCAACACATCTGAGATCGCCAAATGTTCGGGAGTTCCTCTATTCAATCCTTTGAACCTTCAGGTACTGTTTTATTCAATATTTGTTCAATTACTCTTTTACCCGCAAATGCAATATAGGTATTGGGTTTAGCAATAATAATATCGCCCAACATACCAAAACTAGCTGTTACCCCACCAGTTTCCTTAATTTTTACATAAGGCCAATGTGTTAAAAACAGTTATTTTATTTAAGTAAACTAAACAAGCAAGCCACAACATATTCTAACCTTCCCCCCTCCCCTCTTTCGGATTAAGCTTCTCCCATTGTGACAATTAATCGAATCATGTAAGGCATGTGCCCATGACAAATATATACAAATATTCCTATAACAAAAAAAAAAACACACACACACACACACACAAATTCTTTGGAGGAATAAAACATAGTATGGAGCAAATGTCGAAATTACGACTTTAATTTGAGAGTTACCGTTAAATATGTTCTCTATAAATTTGAGTATCAATATATGAATACGATTTCAATTGACACATTAGCGAATCTACTTGGAGAACCAATGTAATTAAATTTTTAATGATCACGAGGATAATGAGTTGATAGGATCCTTTTTTAAGTCACCATGCAACGGAATGGGGGGGAAAAAACGGGAATGAAATTATCCACCCACTCTTCTATCATCCCACTCGTGAAAAGGAAATTCTTTACATTTATGCATATATGTCTAGACAACCTAAGCCGTTCTTTTAATTTATCTCTACATCTCCTCTTTAACGTTTTCACAATCTTAATGGTACCCTTACCGAGAAGAGAAACGACGCATACTTTAAAAACACGATAATTAACGGTCATTTAAATATCATAAAAGTGGGATAGGCACAATAGTTAAGGAATGTATTCTCTGGTCCCAGAGCAAAAACTAGTGCAAGCACGCAAATGCAAAACAATACGATGTTAATGAGCAAATCATAAAGAATCCAAGATAAAGCAAGTCTAAAGAAAATTAAGAACCATAAAGAGAGGAGGGAGGAAAAAAAGGCACAGATATCTGTCTTTAAATGATACTCCGAATTATATCTCATATAGGACTTTAATTTGGTTCCATTCTATAACCTGGGAGAATATATTAGACTTTAAATGATGCTCCCAAAAGCCAAAGTAAACAAAGAACATAAACGGAATTTCAGGGTTAGAATCTGATAATCGACGAAATAGTAGAAAACAAGTAAACCATTGATGCATGGAAATAACGGCTGGAATAGTGAAATAACTGTTAAAAAATCAAATTTTTGGGATGAAAAATTGTTACCAAATGAGGGCTAAGAGTGCTTTTGTAAAACAAACTTGATTCAAGACATGGGGAAATTTCATATCTAAAAGATTAAATATGACCAATTTGAAAACAATGAACAAGGTTTATTATTTCAAAAATTAGATATTAATTAATTTTATTTATGAAATAATAAATTAAATATATTAAGGTCATAGTATTATATAATTTATTGTGACAACTATGTATTTATCACAATTACAGATGTCACAATCATAAATAACAAATTCTGTAGGTTATAACTTATTTTCGATCAAAAATTTATCAAATTAATGGGTCATATATTATTTATTAGTCACAAATCTCACAAGTCACAATTTATTTTATAGTCAAAAAAATAAATTAATTGATTACAAAATATTTTTTGATCACAAATTATCAAATTATTTGTCACAATATAACAAAATTCTAGATTATATATTATTTTTTTATCACAAATTATCTATTTTATTGATCACATATTATTTATCGATAACTCTCTAACCAATTTATTGGTTACAAATTCGTGACGATCACCACCATTCGTGACCATCACGTCACCACCTATAGCACATAGCAACGCCGTCAAACACAACCACCGCCAGAGCCACCACCAACACCTCTGCAGACAACACTCTATACCTACATCAAATGGCACCACACCGTTCACAGCACCTGAAGGACTTGAGTTGCAATTTTTTTATGATCCAAGAAAAATGTTTGTAAATTGCAAAAAGAATCTTCACCTTTCACGCAAATGTAGCAGTCATCACGTGCTCACTCAGTCACTCTCTCTCGCAATATAAGCACACGCTCAATCCAATACTTGCAGTGGAATTAACAATTCACTTTGCAGAGTATGGAGGAACAGAAGCAGAAATTCTCTCAATTCAAAGGCCAGCCAAGGCTTCCCAAATTCGCAATCCCCAACCGCTATGATCTCAAACTGAAACCCGACCTCACCGCATGCAAGTTCACCGGCGCCGTCGACATCTCCGTCGACATTGTCTCCGTCACTAAGTTCCTTGTTCTTAACGCCGCCGAACTCTCCGTCAGCCCTGACTCCGTCAATTTCACATCCAATAATAAGGTCATTGCTGAAGGAAAATGCCGTCCTTCAATTATTTCGAATCATGTTGACTTTCTCTTTTTCTTACTTTTATTTTTGGATTAGATTTAATTTTGTTTGATTTATTGAATAGGTGGTTGAGGCGTTTGATGTGGACATGTGTGAGAAGGATGAGATAATGGTGTTGGAGTTTGAGGAGAATTTGCCGCTTGGAGTTGGAGTTTTAAGCATGGATTTTGAGGGGACCCTCAATGATAAAATGAAAGGGTTTTATAGAAGGTATCTCTTTTATGGTGTAGATATTTCTGTGCACATATAGATGAATATTTGTAAATGCAGTTAATAATTTATAGCAGGACATTTTGCGGGTTCTTTTTTAGCTATCCTAATTGTGGCTGGATTCCGTTGTAGTTGCAGTTTAGGCTGTATATATCGAGGTTTTTTTCTTCATAATTTTCCTTAAGTGCATTTAATATTTGTTTGTGCCTGTATCAGATTGTATATGTATAGTAGATTTATTGGAGGTTTTCGGCCAACTAATAGTTCTTCTTAAACTGGTCTTTGAAAAGTGGCATGCCTGTGCTTTTCTCAGGACACGTCTGCACTGGCAATATATATATATATATATATATATATATATATATATAGATAGATAGATTTTTTTTTAAATTTTTTAAATTTTTGGTTCTTCACTATTTTTTTCTTTCTTTCTTTTCCCTTTTTTTTTTTTTTTTTTTTTTTTTTCCTTCACAAAAATTCTGCATCCAGAATTACATGTAGCCAAAAATTTGCAGCAGCTATATAAAAATTTAAAAAAGAAAAGGCAAAATAAGCATGCTAAGCACCAAATGTATAGTCTGATTGTTCAGTAATTGGAAGAAAAAAGAACTAACTTAAGAAATCAACAATCTGAGAATGCCATTTAAAGATTCAGTGGAATAACAAAAAAGAAAAAAACTCAAACCCCACAGCATATCTATATACAAACAGCCCCTTTTGCTTCTATAACCTTATCAAATGGCTTCAAGATTTACACAACTGATTCTAAGCTCCAGAGTTTGGCAACATCTAGAGTCATTTTTGGAATTTCAACTACAGCTAACTCAGTCAATTTTGGTCTCATTAAAATCTAATCGTATGTACCTGGATGCGTTATTTGTATACTTTTTCGTCCTCAAGTTAATGTATTATATTAGTTTACACGTGTTTAGGGTTAAGATTTACTATGTTCACATAACTAGATGTGTGTTTACTTTTAAATAAATATAATTTTCTCCGGTGCTTATAAAATTTATATTAGTAGCCCATCGTAAAGTTTAATCCTGGCTCCGCCCCTGGCAGCACCTATGACCATAATGAGGAGAAGAAAAATATGGCTGTTACACAGTTTGAACCAGCCGATGCAAGGCGTTGCTTCCCTTGTTGGGATGAACCTGCTTGTAAGGTATTGCCATTTTTCTGTTGCCAAGCACATGCGCTTGTATCCATGTGGTTACCATTATAGAGGTGGTTTGAGAAACCTCTTGATACTTTAAATCTTGTCACGGAATGTGCATTTCATAAAAATCTTATCACGGAATGCAAAAACCTGGCCGCCCTTAACATTGCTGAAATTTCCAAAAGGAAATATAAATTTCTCTAGTTTTCCAAGGATAGTAGCCATGACAATTCACCTTGACAACAACGGTCGAATAATTTTTTTTACACATTTCAAGATTTTACTATTGCCCTGTTTGGTTTAGATAAAAACCAGTTTTTTAGTAGATTTTGATAAAGTTGATGGAATGTGTGGTTGAAAAGTTGTAAATCCCTTGAAATGTGTAGTTAGAATTAATTACTAATTTTGACTTAAAGTTTAATATAACTTTTAGTTGAACCAAGCAGGGGCTATATCTGAGGAATACTTGGTAATAATTAAATATAATAAAATTTAATCAAATAAGACTAACCACGGTAGACAACGGTTCAGTTTACTTGCTGATTGAGATATCTCAGTCTCACATCTTCCAATTCCAATCCCAGCGTTAAATACAGAATTAGTTTTAGTTATTCGAATGGGAGTTGTTACGTAATTAGCTGCCTTTTTATTTCAAATTGCTCAAGGAATCTTTATAGTTTGACCCTCGTTTTTTGTTCACTTTAAACTTGCAATTCAGGCTGCTTTCAAGATTACGTTGGAAGTACCAGCAGAACTCATAGCTCTTTCCAACATGCCAGTCATTGAAGAAAAAATCAGTGGGAATCTTAAGACAGTATATTATCAAGAATCACCAATCATGTCCACGTATTTGGTAGCAGTTGTTGTTGGCTTGTTTGATTATGTTGAAGATCACACCCCTGATGGTATATTTGTTACTACCTTCTATCTTGTGTTTGATCAGCATGATTATTTTTCCTTTCCTAGTGACAAATATCACATTTCATAGGAATCACTGTTAGAGTATACTGCCAAATTGGCAAGGTAAATCAAGGGAAATTTGCCCTCGATGTTGCTGTTAAAACACTTGGCCTTTACAAGGAGTAAGTGTACTTGTGATTTATCATTGCGCATAACACGATAATAATTATATTTTCAGTTTCTTTTAGCGGATACATTTTTAGATGCTTATGCAACAGACTGAAATTATTCTTTCCGCTTTAAATTTATTGAATAAAAACTGCAGATACTTTGCATTGCCATATTCTCTGCCCAAATTGGACATGATTGCAATTCCTGATTTTGCTGCTGGAGCTATGGAGAATTATGGACTAGTTACATATCGAGAAACTGTTTTGCTCTACGATGATAAGCACTCTGCAGCTGCTAACAAGCAAAGGGTAAAAGGCTCAAACGATATTTATCAAATTTCCTGAGTTTTAATTAGTGAACTTATATTGTTGTTGGAGACCTTACAGATGCTTTGAGTTATAATCGTAAAAATTATATCCTATTTAGGTTGCCACTGTAGTGGCCCATGAACTTGCACATCAGTGGTTTGGCAATCTTGTGACTATGGAATGGTGGACACATTTATGGCTGAATGAGGGATTTGCAACATGGGTATTTTAATTTTTTTAATTTTTTTTTTTTTTTTTTGTACTCATACATGCTTACGCATTTAAACTATTAGTTGCTTTATTTTATATTTGTTTTTGGTCTTTCATGGTTCAGGTGAGTTATTTAGCTACTGATAGATTGTTTCCAGAGTGGCAAATTTGGACTCAGTTTCTTATGGAAAGTAATGAAGGGCTTCGACTAGATGAGCTTGCAGAATCTCATCCCATTGAGGTAAGTAATTAGTATTTGTTGGAGCTCGCTAGAAATGAATATGACATTACTATATTTGCTCGTTGTCTTCATCTTAGAATTTAAATGTTAACATCGATCTTCTTTTCAGGTGGATATAAATCATGCACGTGAAATTGATGAAATTTTTGATGCAATCAGTTACCGAAAGGGTGCATCTGTCATTCAGATGCTACAGAGTTATCTTGGCCCCGAATGTTTTCAGGTTGGATGCTTTCTTTTTCAAACTTTTTTTCTTTAATTCTTCCCATGAAATTGTTCCAATTTCTAGATGTTTTATGTTGGTGCTTTTGTCATTTTAGTTATGTATTTGTTTTAAGTTGTGTTTCTATATATGAACCTAAAACTTTACTCTCGTCATGCTTACTTGACTAGTAGATTGAAACATGGATATTATAAAATTCTTTCATCTCAAATGTAAGATAGTGCAATGTTTAAGGATTTGGGATTGCCTTATAAATCTTATAACACATAGTGGATTCTTAACTTTTTTATGCTTCTTTATGTTCTCTACTTTTGGTTCACTCCTTTCAATCATATGATATCACATCTGCACTGGTCAAAGCCATAAATAAGTGCTAACCAACTTGCTCCAAACAATTCAGTTCTCATTGCCAAATAGAAGCCAATCCAGTTTCCTGTATGGCGTCCAATTAATTCCCACCTTTTCAGGATTGGATGCTCCAATT